CCAGGAAGCGCAGCACGATTGATATAACTGAGGCTCCTGGTCAGGGTTTTTGTTCCCTTATGCTAGACGTTAGTTTGACCATCGCTGACATTTGTTACTCACTACCCGCCTCGGCAAACATCGTGCGCCGTTCCAACCACTTTGGTGATACGCGTAACACATACTCCAAACAACGTAATATAAGGAAATCGACCACTTGCTCCTATAGGCAAATTCGATTAACTAAAACACTGCGCCTAAACTCAGCAACGCCCGTCCAGCTTCCCCACAGGAAACCTCAGAATTACAAATTTCAAGGATTCTACCTAAGGCAGCTTGTTGACCGATGTGATAGAGTGTGCGTGCATGACATGCGGCTAAGAGAAAGGAAGAATTTGGCCTCAACAATTTAGTGACTTCTGGTTGGCTGATCTTATCAGTTGAGTGATGAGTGATACCCCTTGAGTAGCAGAACGAAAGACGCATTATATTTGCGAGTGAGAGAAAGAAATAGGCACAAGTAAGGGTTTTCCAAATGGATGCCCAAGCCTGTGCTCGACATACTTCGCGGTGACGAAGAATTTTTCTTCGGGAACAGTGACCGGACCCTTTTACTCAAAATTCTAGTCCGCAAGGCAGTGAGGCGTAGATCCAACGCGGGGGCGTGACCGGAGCGTCCACGTGGAAGCTTCTAGACACCTGTGACGTGGGGTCTTTTGGTTTCGGTTCCGTGGATCGTTTGCTGCTGCATTAATTTTCATAAAACACTTGTATGATAAACAGCAGAATGGGTGAACCCCATGGTCATGAAGTGATTCTGTTCAGTGATGGTAACCGGTAATTTAGCGCCCGGACTTGGAGTGGTGAACCACCTAAGGCCCCGCTGGTTCGGGGGGGGGGGCGGGGAGTATTAAACCAGACAGCAGCAAAGCTGTCAACCGAGGTCCGCTGCTTTTGGATTGAACCTTAGCTTCAGGCATCCAATGAGACAAGCGGCACGTGGATGAGATAACAACTCATTAGCTGCGGAATGCCCAGCATGGACCGGCGGCAGATGTCCAACGAAGTGCGAGGACTTTTCCCACCGTCCTGAGAAAGCTCCGTTTACCCTACTGCTGCGGTGAATTTCTCATGGGTGTGTGGGTATGCTTCCGAACTTGACTAGGTTTATTCGTTCGGCCATCGCAAGCAATCCTGTATAACTCACTGGGTCACGCCTCCGGAAGCCTCAGTATGGTCGGGAGTGGATGCCTTAAATTGTGGCTGGTCACAAATAACCTCACCATTAAAGCCTTCAAAGCATGTTTCACTGTCCCAGGGTCTGAATGGAACTGTTTCCAGAACATTGTGATGTGTTGTACACCGCTTTTTGTGTTACATACAAGAGAATACGGTCAAGGGGTAGTCTCCATAACCTAAGGATGTACTGTATGTGCGATGGAAAAGGGGACATTCAAGCTAGAATCAACTCGTTGATTGTGTGTTTAGAGACGAAAATGTTGTCAGCTGGAAGATAGACCGAAAGGGTGAGTGTTCCGTGGATGTACTACTCTTGAGGGAAAAGGTGACTGCAAGTTAGAAATGTGACACCTGGAATGGTTAACTAGCCGCTTGTGTATGGGACCTATGAGGAAGGACGAGCTGAAAGAAACGGAAGAGGCAAGTTGGGCAGAACAGAAAACAAAATATTATCGGCAGGATAAGGAAGCGACCGCAAATTACATGTTAAGGACTGATCTTACATTGAACCATATCGAGAGACAGGGTGGTGGAGGAAGCCCCATCTCTCACATAACTGCAGTATTCAAGAGGAAGCCGTGATTTGCGCGGGACGCGAAGCAAGTATAGAGTGACCATCTGTGAACGCCCCGGCATGTTCAGGGGTGCTTGTCTCGGGATGTGGCTTTTCAGCCTTATACTGCACCTCGCGAAATGCAATTATATGACCAAATGGCAGAGTAAGCCCTAGTCCCTGCTCTCACTTGATGGTGTTTTTGTATTTACATTGAACCTTTTTTAACCACCGACATTCAACTTTTGAGTCCATGAATAAAACTCTACAACCTAAGAAAGAGGGACAAAGAATAGGACTGAAAAAAATGAATTCCTTTTACTTTCTTTTTCATTCATTGAATTTACCAATGTACAGACTATTCAGGAACGGGGCGGCGGCCGTACAAAAGCCGCATGGAAAGACGGGCACTGGTGGAGCGGCTCGAACCCGGAACTTCCGGGTCACAATTTGGTGGCCTAACCACTTGGCCTCCAGTGCCCAGTGATTTAAACGGTCCAATTGAAAGGGCTATGCAAGTTGGAAAGAATAAAACCGTTAAAATGGCCGCTTAAACATTCCAAAGTTAACGTTCAGCTTTTAATGATCGAACACCTTTGGTTATCGTGTAACGTGAGAACTGATGAAATATCCAACCATACTCCATTGGTGATCAAAACGTCTTTTGAGTTAATCGGTTACATCAGACTGCAGCAACTGGCGCTATCTGGTGTCCATAATTAGGTTACTGCACCTTGAAAGCAACTGAATGAACTAATAGGTTCACACATGAACGCTCCAGTTGATGTCATCGAAACGAGAATTCCCCTTCACGTGGTGTAATGGAGTGCGTGCTTCAGTCACCATTTGAGCCATACAGGATGGCTGCTCACAGCCGCAGATCGAATCATGCCTGAAAGGTCAGGAGGTAGAGGCCAGACAAAGCTCACTCTTCCAAGGCCAACTACTTGGGCACCTATTGGCTAACTTTGATTATTCACAGCAAATAAACCGCTGAGGTGCAGTCTGCTGGTCAAAAATCCCGCTAGATGCAGTAGGGCTTTCTCGCGACGGTTGTAGAAGTATTCGCAATTCATTGAACAGCCGCTGCCGGCTTCAGCTCGATAGCCCGCAGCCAAAAATTTGTTGTCCGGTCCACGTTCTGCTTGTCTCGATGGGTGAATGAGACAAAGGGCGATCCCGAACAGCGACCGATAATAAACGCATCAGCGGACAACACACTGAAGCGAAAACCAAAGACAGATCTCCAGAAGTGAGGTTTTGTTGAGGAATGCTGTTCCTACTGGTCGGTACCCGTGGTGTCGGACCATGTTTGGTACGAGCCAGATTCTCCTCACGTCTGGTAAACAACTACGGAAATGCCACCGAAAACGGGCACCAGTGATACTAGGTCAGCAATGAAAACAAATACGATGAATCTCCTCGACCTCAGCTTC